TCTCCCTTCCCCTCCTCTCCCTTCCCCTCCTCTTCTCTCCTCTCCTCGTCCCCTCCTCTCTTCTCCTCTTCTCTTCTATGCTCTCCTCTCCTCCCCTAGCTCCTCCCCTCCCCTCCCCTCCGTTATCCTCCTCACTTATCCACAGGTCTGGTTCTACGACGAGTGCTACCTTCGCTTCAGCATGTCAGACTTCTCCATGAAGGACCTGGAGGACAACTACACGCACCTGTGCAACAACAGCATCCAGAAGGAGGGAGAGAACTTTGAGCAGGTCAAGAACAGCTCCATGTGGGACCTCGACTCGTTCAAGTCCTTCCTCCTCTCCCACAATCAGCAGGAGGCCTGGGAGGAGAAGATCCTGCCGCAGATGAAGAGGATCTCCAAGTGGGCCCTCATGTGTGCGCAGGACATGCTGGAAAACCGCAAGTTCTCGTGCGAGGTCTACGGGTACGACTTCATCCTCGACGAACAGCTCAACGTCTGGCTGCTCGAGGTGAACGCCAGCCCGGACATGTCGGCGAGCACGCACGTGACGGAGAGGCTGACGGAGAGAGTGATGGAGGACATGATCAGAGTCATAGTGGACGCCAAGGACTTCAACTGGGGGAGGAGGAGGCTCGAGAAGGAGCCGGGCTGCGAGACAGGAGGGTGGGAGCTGGTGCACAGAGGGGAGCAGGAAGTTTCGTTCCCCATCAGCGCCTTCGGCTGCAAGCTCGCGCTTGTGGGCACGGAGGTCCCGATTCACACCGTCTTCGTCGGGAAGCCGCCCGAGTACACGCTAGCAGGGAGTAACCGGGACACGAGGACGAGGAAGCTGAGGGAGCAGCAGCTGGAGCTGCAGGTGGAGGCGAAGAAGGAGCCCCCGAAGCCCCCCAAGATCAAGAAGAAGAAGTCCAGCAGACCCCCAGGGGTTGATCCTGCTGGGTTGCTGGGGAGGGGAGGCGGAGGGGAGGACAGGGCGAGCCAGGAGGACTGCGGGGGACTGGGGGGGTGGGAGGACGAAGACTTCAAGTCCAGCTCGGCTCCTGCTGCGTACCTGGCGAAGTTCTCGAGGAGGGAGAGCCAGCAGGATAAGGAGGAGGAGGAGGAGGAGGAGGCCAGTCCGACAGGGGGGGGAGAGGAGGAGAGGGAGGAGGGGAGGAAGCTCCGACCTGGCTGGGCTCTCAAGGCGGCAGAGAAGCTGAGGAGGACAGAGAAGATCGCGGAGAAGCTGAAGCCAGCAAACGCCTCCAAGAGGAGCACGGTGCCCAACAAGGAAGTCTTGCCCACGAGGTGAAGGAGGAAAAGGAGGAGGAGGAGGAGGAGGTAGGGGTTGTGAGTTGGTAGGGTGGGGGCAAGGAGGGTGCAGAGGGGAAGCGGTGCAGGGGACTGTCAGTGGGGAGAGGAGGGTGGTAGTGAAGCAGAGGAAGAAGCAGAGGTCGCTGGTGTTTTCTGACAGTCGTGGCAGGGTGGTGACGTTAGGAGCAGACTTGTTTGGGTTCTGAGAGGAGGAGGAAGGAGACCTTTGCTCGTGTGCGCTTGTAAACTAGTCGCTGTGCTCACTCTCTCGCTCTCTTGCTGTACTTGTCCGGAAGAAGGCCCAACGCGATCACCTGAGGAGGATCAGAGCAAGACCAGGAGCAGAAGAGAGACAGGAACAGGAGGTGGGGGACAGGAAGGACGAGGGTGGTCCAGGAGGGCGGGGGAGATCACAGAGTGAATTTCTCCAGAGTAGAGGAGGAGGAGGAGGAGGAGAAGGAGGAGGAGAAGGAGGAGGAGGAGGAGTCGCGTCACCTCGGATATGCAGCGCATCACCTTAGACACATCGAAGATGTCCTGCCCCTCCTGCTCGCTCGTAACTTCCTCCGTCCTCCGCCCACTTCTCCCTCCAGCTCTGTCTTTCCCCCAGCCTCTCCTCTACCTCCTAGTCGCTCTGCTCCTCTACCCTCCGGTCCTCTTCACTCCTTGCTCCTCCTCCTCCTCCTCCCTCACCTCCTCCTTTCACTGACCTTCAGAATCGTCCGCAGCGAGCTCTCCATGTCTATCCAGATGTTTCTTCCTTGTGCAGCAGCCTCCATCTTTCATGCCACAAGTGAACCAGCAGCAGTCAGAAGACGTAGAAGCACCAGCAGCACCACCACCGCCAGCACCACCACCACCACCAGAAGCACCACCAACACCACCAGCAGCAGCACCACCACCACCGCCAGCAGCAGCAGCAGCACCACCACCACCACCACCAGCTCTCATCACCTTCTTGAGTTCCTCTCGGATGTTGGCAGGGCCCAGACCTCCAGCATAGCCGAAGGAGACGGCAGGAGGAGGAGGAGGCGAGTACTGCGACGAGACCGCTCCTCTCCCCTTGGACTCGTCGAAGAGGAACGAGACGTTGGTGGGGCAGGAGCCGTTTACCATGAGGTCCTGCGGGTGGGTTGAGCCTGGAGACACGGCAGAAGAGGAGGAGGACGTGAGGAGATGGGGTGAGAAGGTGGAGGTGGAGGAAGGAAAGGAGGTGGTCAATGTAGAGAAGTACGGTGGACGAGGACGAGGACGAGGACAAGGACGAGGACGAGGACGAGGACGACGACAATGTTCTTGCCTCCCACAGAACTTTTGTTTCTTCGTTACGTTGGACGATGAACTCGATATCCTACCGCATCATCTCAGCAGTAAGGAGAGGAAAAAGGGAGGCAACCAACCTCATGATCAGCCGCCACCTTGACAAGATTCTTCGCCATCTCTGCGGTCAGTTTGCTGCTGTCAACGTTGTTGGCCTTGGTGGGGTTGAGCTGGAAACCTGCAGGGAACACTCAAGACATGAGCAGGAGCAGGAGCAGGAGCAGGAGCAGGAGCAGGAGCAGGAGCAGGAGCAGGAGCAGGAGCAGGAGCAGGAGCAGGAGCAGGAGCAGGAGCAGGAGCAGGAGCAGGAGCAGGAGCAGGAGCAGGAGCAGCAGGAGCAGGAGCAGGAGCATGTCATACGCTTGAAGCCCTTCCCCTTCATCAGATCTAAGACATACTTGGAGCAACTGAAAGAACATGCTGACTCAGAACGAAGGACAAGGACGAGGACGAGGACAAGGACGAGGACGAGGACGAGGACGAGGACGAGGACGACTATCATCTCCTTCCAGCAGATCTAAGACATACTTGGAGCAACTGAAAGAACATGCTGACTCAGAACGAAGGACAAGGACGAGGACGAGGACAAGGACGAGGACGAGGACGAGGACGAGGACGAGGACGAGGACGAGGACGAGGACGAGGACACACAAGAGAGCACGCACAGGTGCCCAGCAAGCCTCATCTTGGCATGCTCCGCAAAGAACTTGAGATCATCCACCCACTCCAAGGAGGCGAACCTGCAGGAGGAAACATGCGCATCAGCCGCCATGTCCTCCTGCTCCTCCCGTCACCTGCCTTGGTTGCCCTTGCTTCTCGTCATGGAACAACACCCCCCACTCTACCCATGGGTAGCTCTCCGAGATGGCAGCGAGAAGCCGCGGGTCCACAGAGTCGTCGATGCCGCAGAAGCCGACGCATCGCAAGTGCATGCCTGCAAGATGCTGTCATGAGCGAGCGAAGAAACTGAAACAGTATCCTCCTCCTCCTCGTCATCCCCTCCCTCCCTCCCTCCCTCCCTCCATCCATCCATCCATCCATCCATCCATCCATCCATCCATCCATCCATCCATCCATCCATCCCTCCCTCCCTCCCTCCTTCCCCCCCCCCCCCCCC